TTCAAGATTTTTTAATATACTTGTGAGAACATTAAAAAGGCCTTGATGAGAAGTATCATCCACTTTTATAAAATCTATAAAGTATTTTTCTATTTTTATTGGACTTATTGAAATATCTACACATCTTAATATAAGTGACATTTATTCTTGATGACTTGTATCTGGGTACAATCAAGTATAACTGAAAAATATTTTGATTCTTTGATTTTTTTAATAATGGTATTTCTTATTTCTAATGCTAAAATATTTATCAACTCATTTTGTATATTATGACCAAGATAATGAGTATGAATTTCTCCATTTTGAATACATCTAAGGTGTTCTTGCATTATTGGATCAAACTCAGCAATCGTTTCAATTAAACTCAAAAAATTTCCAATATTTTCTTGATAAATCTTCTCATTTGTACCACGAAATGCCAAATTATTTTTTGAAAGATTTTTTACAATCGCTATAATTCTTAATAGTACATTCTTCCAATGTTCTTTCTCTTTATTTATTTTCTCTTGTAAATATTTATCAATTGTTTTGTTTTTAAGCAATCTCATCTCAACATCAACCCAAATGTTCATATTTATAGCATGTTCATTGCTTGTTTCCTGACTTTTAAGCTTGGCACTAAGATTTTTCCAATCTCCACACCCTTCATTTGCTAATTGAATTGTATTTGCTTTTAAACTAAATAATTTACAACAAAAACAAAATATTTTATTTAATTCTTTTGAATATATTAATCATTTTCTATCATTTTTTCTCAATTTGGTAATTTTCAAATATAATGAATTGTAGAAAAGCATTTAGAATTTTCATCTCTTGGAAAATCTAAAACTTGTCTAATTGGACCTTTCTCAACTAATAAATCACATAAGTTTGTGTCTAAATTATTCCAGTGTACCGGGTCATAAATATTTTTAATAGTTGTTTCATCTTTATCATTAATATTTTCATTTTTGTCGAATGGAATTTCTTTTTCTAAATTTTCATGAGACTCTTCACTAGTATTTGATGAATTTGAATTGTTATTTTTAAAAATTTCTTCACAATTTTCAATTGATTTTTCATTTAAATCTTCATTTGATTTTTCTAGCATTTGGTGTTTTGTAATAATAACAAATTTATCAAGTGCACCTTTTTGGGATTGAATTAGTTCTTCTATTCTTTTTTTTTCTTTTCTTATGTTTTTCAAATCCAGATTCACATTTCCTAGTAGACATCTATATTCAAAGAATAAATAATTTAGAACTCTTAATATTATTTTGTTAAAATAAAAATAATTATAAAAATTAAGAAGGAACTTTAACACCTGATTTTGCTTTTTGTTGTGCTGATACTCAAAAATCTTATATTATTACCCTGCATAAAAACAATAATGTAAATCAGTTATTTACTTGATCAAATATAAAGTAAAATTAGTTGAGAATGGTAAAAGTAAAATGATTTAAAGCTCTTAACATCACCTTGCATAAAAATAATAATAATGTAAATCATATTCACTTGATAAATTTTCATAATAAAGATGAGAAACGAGAGACAAGAGATGAGAAAGAAGAGACAAAAGAGTAAACGGAGTGGAGAATAATAAGAGTAAAAGATGAGAAAACTTTAAGTAAAATAAGGTTTATATAAGAGATTTGGGGGAGAGAGGAAATGTGATTTGACATTTGAGAGTTGGAGAGTTGCAAGAAGATGTTTCAATTTGTTTTAAGTTTAGAGATAGGTATGGTTGATTAGACATATGGTAGGATTGATGGGAATTGAGAAATTATAGATATATTAAAAGACTTTTAGAAAAATAATTTTGGGTAGAGATAGGCATAGGCGACTACATGATGGGATTGATGAGAATTAAAAAATTATAAACATATTAAAAATACTTTAAAAAATAATTTTAGGCCCTCTTTGTTATCCCTTTTTTGGGGGGGCCCTAGGCAGGGGCCTCACTTGCCTACGGGTTAAGCCGGGGCTGTCCCTTTAGCTCAGGTTCGAATAACAAGAACGGTTGTTAATATTATTAGTCACGGACCATAGAGCTTGTTTTGTGATTGGAAGACTAGACGAGGTGCGCGTAAGTTGATTTGGACACCCTCGAAACAAAAAATTAAAAAATTAAAAAAAATAATGCCACAATGTTGGCATGGTAACATCAAGAGGCCATTTTGGATGATAGTCAGATAGATTCACTATTATAATATTTTACAATTACCAGCCATGTGGAAACTCCACCTTTTGCCCTTACAATCTTTCTATTTCTCCATTTCCTCCTTGTTTCTGCTCTCTTCGTTAGTCAGATTCAAACAACGCATCATTAAGCCATTAAAAACATTTAAGCGAAAACAAGACAAGTAATTAACAAAGAAAAAAGATCAGACTTAGAGGTATATTATCTGTTAAGTCTGTATTTTCTTTTACTAGATGTGGTGCAGTCTTTGTAATTCACAGCCATAAACTAAAGCCAAGCACTGCAGTATCCTTCCCCATTTTGAGATTCCACTTCTTGGCAAAAATGTAATGATCTTCAAACAACATCAACCATGGTATATGCCATCTTATGGTCTATGATACTTGTTTTGTTGATTCTACAAGCAAGAATAACGCTTCCAGAAGTTTTCAAACTGTTGTACATGATATGTTCAACACATAACGTTAAGTAAAAGCCTCCACACTAAAAACATTCTAAGCATTAACTGGGTGAAGAATGAGTGAAATGTGTTTGTAAACACAGCAGGAAAAAACAAAAATAAAGATAGTGCCACAACAGGCCAGATGATTTTCTTGCTGACAAAAGCCCAGTACATGCCAGTATTTAGATATCATCTTTGAAAGTCTCATGGACCGCAGGCCTTGTGATGTAGGGCAATGTGGGATATTTCACAAATCCATTGATTATGTGAAAACCTGAAATATGAAACTAGGGACTGCTTCTAGACCTTACAACCTTGGTATCAAACTTGTGGGTTATAATATCCAAACAAGCGGCCCCGAAGGGATTTGAAAGTTTAACCTCTAGGTTGAAATCAAGGGTCTTTCCACTCAATCCAACCCTTAAGAGTTAACAAACGCTGATTCCCTATCTCCCTACACACCAAGTATCATAACATCTTGACAAAAAGAAAGCCTGAATATAAAAGCGGTGGGAAAATAATCAACTATAGCTGGATGCTTCGAATGTAAAATGCACTTCATTTTGAATTTAACTGTTTCTTCTACATCTCTTGTTGACGAGATCACATCTTTCCTTCAATATGCCTTGCCCTTTTTAAATATCACTACCTTTGAAATAAGATCTAATTAGCAGCACCACATAAGCTAGACTGAAAAGTGATCGTGGATACTCCCAGGAGATTCATATCTCTTGCTAAACTCTTCTCCCAGTAATTCCTTATCTTTATGGAGTGACAAAATGCATAACTTTTAATTACTTGATTGAAGCCAAATTTCAAACACTAAAGGACCCACGTGCTTTAGAAATATTGAGGTACAGAAAAAAACCTAAAATATTTGACCAATGTGCAAGCACATATGGACATCTTGTTTAGTAAAAGAGATTATTGGCCTGCTTCCAAGAGTTATCCACGTTCCTCTAGTAACTGGGTTTCGGAAAGAAATTGGAAGGCAAGTCTTCTTCTCAGATGATTTTGAGAACTCATAAGCTATTGCAAGAAAATTAACTTTACTACCACCTTTAGCTTCAGTTCACAACATATTTTCATGTCATCATCAAGAAGTAGACGTTCCGACGAAAGCATATGATTTTTACTTTCTTGTTAGGTATTGTAATCTGTTTATTACCACAGTAAATTTTTCAGCCTCCTATTCTGTGTTGTTATTTATTTATTTTGGGTACTTGTATGGTCGTTCCTTGTTGCTTTCTTAAGCATTTCAAAGAAATTTTTCCTCTTTTTAAGAATCATTTCCTGTTTCAATAAATGTGTATATGAATGCTTACGCAAATTTAAGTATGACATAGACATGATCAATCAACTAATCACATAACCTTAACATTTAAACTTGTATAATTTAAAAGGAACCAACACAACAAAGGATTACCTTCATCAAGAAGAAAACTTTGTTTCAGCAGATACATCCAATCTTTTCTAACGGAAGTTCTCTTCTCTGATGATGACCTCCTGTGGCTTCTAGTGAAATTCGATCTCTCCTCAGAATTCCTGGAGACTTTTTATCCCCCTCCTTTTCCTTGCGCATATGATTTTGAGGAACATATTTGTTGGCAGCACTAGGTGTTTCCCAACTGATTTTCCTCTTTCAGGATTCTCTCTATCACTGTTCCTGTCCAAGTTATTCCTCCTAGCTGTTTTTCCTCTACTAGTTCCAGCATTAATTCGAGAACCTCTCATTCGGTTATGTTCCTCCTCTTCAGAATTCCTGGAGACAATATTATTCCCCTTCTTTTCCTTGCGCATTGTTTTTGAGGAACATTATTGTTGGCTGCACCTAGGTGTCTCCCAACTGATTTACCTCTTTCAGGATTTCTCATATCACTGTTCCTGTCCAAGTTAATCCTCCTAGCTGTTTTTCCTCTCCTACTTGCAGCATATTCGAGAACCTCTCATTCGGTTATGTTCCTCCTCTTCAGAATTCCGGGAGACAATATTATCCCCCTTCTTTTCCTTGTGCATATGTTTTCGAGGAACATTATCCTTGGCTGCACCTAGGTGTTTTCCCAATGATTTTCCTCTTTCAGGATTTCTCATATCCTGTTCCTGTCCAAATTAATCCTCCTAGCTGTTTTTCCTCTACTACTTGCAGCATTATTCGAGAACCTCTCATTCGGTTATCTTCCTCCTCCTCAGAATTCCGGGAGACAAATCATCCCCCTTCCTTTCCTTGCACATATGTTTTTGAGGAACATTATCATCCTTGGCTGCACCTAGGTGTTTCCAAATTGATTTTCCTCTTTCAGGATTTCTCATATCCCTGTTCCTGTCCAATTAATGCTCCTAGCTGTTTTTTCCTCTACGTTGCGCATTATTCAGAACCTCTCATTCGGTTATCTTCCCCCTCCCCTCATCATCATCATCATCCCTGTTCGTGTCCAAAATAATCCTCCTAGCCGTTTTTCCTCTACTAATTGCAGCATTTTTTCGAGAACTTCTCATTCGGTTATCTTCCTCCTCCTCCCCGCTCTCATCATCATCATCAAGGTTATCGTCTCTGGCACCCTCTTCCTCAGAACCAGACGAGTCATACAACTGAACATCCTTCTCATCCTCACTATCTTCATCAGCAGCCTCTCTTTCTTCTCCTTTCAACTCCTTTTCTTGCTGCTCGCTCCCACTTGCTGGAGCAATCACTTTACAATCTTCTTTCATCATATTCATTAGGTGAATATACTGATTTCTAATATTCATCAACGGATCACTCTCCATCAATGCTCCCCTCCTATAACCCTCCCTTAAGACCACTGTATATGTTCCAACCTTACTGGAAACATAAAAAACACCAGGGTGGTTAAGCAAAGCTCTCTTAAACCTTGACCTGATACCCAAGTACTCTCCAAGACAAAACAAATTCTCCCTATCCACCTTCTTCGCTCCAAAAAGACTAATCACCTCGTGCAAAATCGCCACCACCCACTTATCCGATTCATCACTTTTCGACAACAGATGAGCTGCATTCTCATATGGAGAAATGTAAGGCAACTTCTGCCAATCATCCATCCACTTCTTCATTTTCTTATCAATCACAAAACCGCTGGAAAACTTCTCCGAAAAAACAATCTTTTCCCCATTTTTTGCCTTCTTCTCCATAACTGAAACTGCCAATTCATTACTCCAACAAACCAACTCCAATTCGCCAAAATCCCCCGACCCAAAACAACCATCTTTACTACCAATAACGCGAAAATAATCGGGAAATTCAGGAACAATACTTCTTAAATAATCTTGAGGAAGACCAATATCCCATTTCAAATTCTCAATAATCTTTAAAGGTACCTTGTTGATTCTCGAAATCATCAACAGTTTCAGCAGCCTATCAGCAACAACTTGCTTATAGGTCTCGCTTTGGTAAACCAGCAGCTCTTCAGCATCAAGATTGAGGACCTCTGGAGTGAGCTTGATATGGGGCTGGACCCCGATGTTCCCTGGGAAGAATTCCTGGAAGATTGAAGGGTATTTTCGTACGAAGTCAATGGGGCGAAAGGGGATTTTCAGGGAGTCTTTTTGCTTGGTGATGATGGAGATTGGGAGGGACTTGGACGGCTCTAATTTGATGAGGTTTTTGATGTTGAGGAGAGGTTTGAGGTTCTTTTCTCTCTCCACTGCGTGGTCGAGGCCACGGTCCCGGACCCATTTGAAGGTAGTGTCAGTGGAGGGGAGGTGGCAGTAGTTACGGCGGAAGGAGTGGCGGAAGAGTAAGTGCATTGAAGGGTTTTGGAATTGGCGGAGAAGGTTTTATTAATTGGAGTGTAGGGTTTTAGAAGGGTTCTAACTTCCAACTTCTGAAGAAGGTAAAAATTACATTCACACCCTTAATGTTTCTATAATGGTAATAATAAACTTTAAATTTTTCTATAAATTCTTAACTTATAATTTTTTTAAATTTTTTTTATTCTAAATAATGTTATATAAATAAAATTAAGATTTGAATTTCATATTTCTAAGTAATAGAGTTAGACTTCATTAAGAACATAATTGTACAATTCATATTGCATCACTAAAATAGAGTGAATTTACACATAAAAAATTGAGTCTTAAATAGATTGATCCCTAAAATGGCAACCAATTTAAGGTTTCTTCAACTTCTTTGAGAAGAGTTTGAACTTAACAAAAGTAGAATTTATATGAATAGTTTGTAAAAAATTGAAAGTTGTTTTGTTTGACAATGTAAAAGACGTCTGATCGTTTTAAATTATCATAAAAGACTTTAACGCAATAGAAATAATTAGTCAAAATTATAAATTACTAACAATGTCTTCTGAAAATTTAACACTTTGCATAAGGGGATACTATCAATTAGGATATAAACTTTTCAGGCTTTATCAATAAAGGGACAAAAGTTACAATTTTTTCAATTAGTAATGATAAAAGATGCCCTTAATTTTATTTTATTTTTAAGTGAATTTAGTTCTTAAAACATGAATTTTGAAAAACTAAAAAAGACCGAAACCAATTCTTTTCAAAGGAAATTGAAAAAACTAAAAATTAAGAAATTTCAAAATAATAGAAAATTTAATAAAATAAAAAATATTATTTCTTTTATAAAAAGGNGCACCCTCTTCCTCAGAACCAGACGAGTCATACAACTGAACATCCTTCTCATCCTCACTATCTTCATCAGCAGCCTCTCTTTCTTCTCCTTTCAACTCCTTTTCTTGCTGCTCGCTCCCACTTGCTGGAGCAATCACTTTACAATCTTCTTTCATCATATTCATTAGGTGAATATACTGATTTCTAATATTCATCAACGGATCACTCTCCATCAATGCTCCCCTCCTATAACCCTCCCTTAAGACCACTGTATATGTTCCAACCTTACTGGAAACATAAAAAACACCAGGGTGGTTAAGCAAAGCTCTCTTAAACCTTGACCTGATACCCAAGTACTCTCCAAGACAAAACAAATTCTCCCTATCCACCTTCTTCGCTCCAAAAAGACTAATCACCTCGTGCAAAATCGCCACCACCCACTTATCCGATTCATCACTTTTCGACAACAGATGAGCTGCATTCTCATATGGAGAAATGTAAGGCAACTTCTGCCAATCATCCATCCACTTCTTCATTTTCTTATCAATCACAAAACCGCTGGAAAACTTCTCCGAAAAAACAATCTTTTCCCCATTTTTTGCCTTCTTCTCCATAACTGAAACTGCCAATTCATTACTCCAACAAACCAACTCCAATTCGCCAAAATCCCCCGACCCAAAACAACCATCTTTACTACCAATAACGCGAAAATAATCGGGAAATTCAGGAACAATACTTCTTAAATAATCTTGAGGAAGACCAATATCCCATTTCAAATTCTCAATAATCTTTAAAGGTACCTTGTTGATTCTCGAAATCATCAACAGTTTCAGCAGCCTATCAGCAACAACTTGCTTATAGGTCTCGCTTTGGTAAACCAGCAGCTCTTCAGCATCAAGATTGAGGACCTCTGGAGTGAGCTTGATATGGGGCTGGACCCCGATGTTCCCTGGGAAGAATTCCTGGAAGATTGAAGGGTATTTTCGTACGAAGTCAATGGGGCGAAAGGGGATTTTCAGGGAGTCTTTTTGCTTGGTGATGATGGAGATTGGGAGGGACTTGGACGGCTCTAATTTGATGAGGTTTTTGATGTTGAGGAGAGGTTTGAGGTTCTTTTCTCTCTCCACTGCGTGGTCGAGGCCACGGTCCCGGACCCATTTGAAGGTAGTGTCAGTGGAGGGGAGGTGGCAGTAGTTACGGCGGAAGGAGTGGCGGAAGAGTAAGTGCATTGAAGGGTTTTGGAATTGGCGGAGAAGGTTTTATTAATTGGAGTGTAGGGTTTTAGAAGGGTTCTAACTTCCAACTTCTGAAGAAGGTAAAAATTACATTCACACCCTTAATGTTTCTATAATGGTAATAATAAACTTTAAATTTTTCTATAAATTCTTAACTTATAATTTTTTTAAATTTTTTTTATTCTAAATAATGTTATATAAATAAAATTAAGATTTGAATTTCATATTTCTAAGTAATAGAGTTAGACTTCATTAAGAACATAATTGTACAATTCATATTGCATCACTAAAATAGAGTGAATTTACACATAAAAAATTGAGTCTTAAATAGATTGATCCCTAAAATGGCAACCAATTTAAGGTTTCTTCAACTTCTTTGAGAAGAGTTTGAACTTAACAAAAGTAGAATTTATATGAATAGTTTGTAAAAAATTGAAAGTTGTTTTGTTTGACAATGTAAAAGACGTCTGATCGTTTTAAATTATCATAAAAGACTTTAACGCAATAGAAATAATTAGTCAAAATTATAAATTACTAACAATGTCTTCTGAAAATTTAACACTTTGCATAAGGGGATACTATCAATTAGGATATAAACTTTTCAGGCTTTATCAATAAAGGGACAAAAGTTACAATTTTTTCAATTAGTAATGATAAAAGATGCCCTTAATTTTATTTTATTTTTAAGTGAATTTAGTTCTTAAAACATGAATTTTGAAAAACTAAAAAAGACCGAAACCAATTCTTTTCAAAGGAAATTGAAAAAACTAAAAATTAAGAAATTTCAAAATAATAGAAAATTTAATAAAATAAAAAATATTATTTCTTTTATAAAAAGGGATGATTTAAATATTTTATTTATTTTTATTTTATTATTTATTGTGTAAAAAATAATAATTTAAATTTGTTCAATTATGTCTTTATGCTTATATAAAGTTAAATCTAACCCTGAGCAATTGTTCATTATCCCTTAATTGAAGTTATGACTTCTGTCCTCCCATTAATAAAGTCTGGAAAATCTGTACAATAATATCTCTTAAATAAGTTTGAAAAGAGTTTACGAAACCTAACAAATATAAAATAATTTAATTATAAAATCTCATAAACGCTTTTGTAATGTAACAAAACAACTTTAGAAAGAGTTTCAAAAGTAATTATAATTTTAAATAAACTCTTTTAGACAATTCGTAAATCTAACTAAACAAATTCTAGTGGGAGGATTGTCAATCAAATAAGATTTTCGACTAGAGCTTATGAAAATATAGTTATTAAGCCTTGTTGTTGTGTGATTTTTCCATTAAGTTCGAAGAAGTCAGAGTCCTGCGAGGTTATAGTTCGACTCAAAATCAGCTCGGCTCAACACTTGTCCGACCTAGCATAAGCTCATCAACATACAGCTCGACCCAACAGAAGCTAGTCGGGACCAATCCTAACAGTTGTTCGAACAAATCATAGATAAGTTTAGATCATGGATATTTCAGAAGAGATCAGATCAATAATAATGATAGTGCGATCCTAGCTCTCAATCGCGAGAATATTGGAGTTGCACTTTCATCTTGATTGTAATTCCTTTAATTTCGCTCTTTTCTTTATAAGAAACTTGTATATAAGCACCCTCCAACGATGGGAGAGGGATTAGCAAATTATTCTAGGCATATTATTATTTCTTGTAAGCTCTCTAAGCAAAGAGAGCTTACAAGAAATATAGTAGACGTAGGCTCAAGATTCAAACTTGCTGATCCACTTTAAAAATCGACAATGTTCTTTACATTACGATGCCTCTTTTATATTCAATTGTTGATTGCCTTCAATCACACACACATCTATTCTGATTCCACCAAGGTCAATCGAATCACTATAGTTGGTGTAAAATCTTGCATCAACATTTTGGCGCTAGAAGGAGGGCCTCCACCTACTTTCCATATTTCTGACAAGAAACAAACAATTTTAGTGAACCGATCACTTGAAATTTCAAATGGCCCATACCAGATCTAAAACCACCACCGGAAACCACGATAACGTGGAAACCGCCCATCAAGAGGTGCAACAGACTGCTCTTCCAGGTCGACCACCAATGACGCTAGTGCAACAGGTCACAAATCAGTAGGGAGTAGGGACTTCAAATCCTGAGAATGTCCAACTGATAGAGATGATAAGGACAATGGTTGCACAGGCAGAGCAACAGAATGTGGCTGAAATAAGGAATCAACAGCCAACCCACCAAGACCTCAATCAGCCAACCAAGACCTCAATCAGCCACGCTTCACAGAAGTTACTCCAACGGGTCAGAATAACTCGGCCAACAACCAATCCGGCTCGTCAACACCAAGGAGCGGCTGTCACTCCCGACACCACAGGGCGCCTTTCGCTCACGAGCATGAATCTCGCAGGCAAGTTAACCCCGAGAGGCGACCAGGCAAACAACCCATGAGGGAAAATGAAGGCAATGGTTATTAAAGGGATGCTCGCCCTAATCGACGAAACGACCAACACCAGCATTTCGGTTTTAACCCATGTTAAATGCGGGCTCAAACTTTACAAGCCACGAGATGAGCTGCGCATGCCAATCTGGCAACCATCGACTTTCCGATTTTAACCAACGTCGCGAGCAACGCATAGATGAGCATGACAGCACCTACCAACCTAGCCATCATGACTCCACCTCGTGCACTAATGCGCACAATAGAGCAGGCTCATAAGCAACTGATCTTCGAACTCACCTGCTTGAGGTAAGGCTGAATAGAGCTTGCAACTAGAATACTCCTCATGATGAGGACTTAGATCGAGTGCAAAAAATAGTCGACGATCTAAGAGCGTGCTAGAATAATTCGACGGAAGAGATAGTGAGTTCTCTATTCATGGAGGAAGTTCGTCAAGCCTCGCTTCCCCAAGGATTCAGGGTGTCGGAGAGCAAGTTCAACGGGAAAGGGGATTCCAGAG